ATACACTTTTATTAGTTATTTGTATCATAATTTGAATTAATTTAATGGTAATAATTTAATTATTATTTATTGAGAAGTATTTAGGAGCGCAACATATATTTGTAGATATTTCCAACACAGTTGTAGTTATGTGTTTCATGTTTGCGATCCTCTAGTAATTATCACACCTGTGGCTCGCAAGTCACTCTGATTCATCTATTGATGTTTATGTGCTTGAAATGTTGTTAGAGTAGTAAAATAGTTTTTTTTTTTTATAACTATTGTTTTTTTTTATTGGTCATTTGATTGTTTACAACAATTAACAGTATTATCGCAATAATGTGTTACAGATTTCTAAAGGATATAGATAACAGAGTATGAGCATATTCAACATCTTACAAAATTCAGCTGATAAACAATGTGACTTTGTAGTCATTACTGTCATCAATACATTTCTTTTTTTTTTGATGAGTATGCATTGTTTGTTTGAAATATTCAGTAAGTCATTAGTTTAGAGAAGAAAGGAAGGTTGTAAAATAGTTTTTTGTTTGCACTGTAATTGGAGTCCACTTTAATATATACCTATATTTCCCTTCTCTGCCTTCTTTTGCGTCTCATTTTTATTTCTGATTTCCTCCTTTTCTTTTTTTCCACCTTAGAGCCTCTGAAATAAGTGAGATGACTTTCTTTCACTTCTAAATCTTGACGGCACCTTTCCAGATGTCCCAGAATCCTCTACCAGGTCCCGCTCGATAGCCGTTGAAGGTAGATAGCGGTAAATATGTCATAAAGGGTTTGATTGTGTATTCCTGCCTTGTCATTAATGGGATTTATTCTGTAGCTGCGCAGAGCCAGTTTGGTTTTATTTAACTATAAACAACCTGGATCAGATAATGAAGTATCTGGCTGTCCGCGTGCCCATTAATAAGGAGGGATTGTAATAGGATCGTGCGTACCTCTGGGGGAAGTGAAATCACACTGTATTAAGCTGATGACTAGCTGTGTACGGAGCCTGCTCTGACAGCCAAGGATCTCGGGGCTTACACGTAACCCGAACAGGATTACTTAAATAAACAAATGCAGAATTAAAAATTGATTTTCGTGGCTGCCTTGCCACTGTAAAATGATTTAAAGCCACTCGGTTTAGGAGGCGGAGGAAAAATATCATCCGCTTTAACATCCCGCAGAGTAAATTTATCTTATATTAGAAGCTAATTCACTGCGCAGTGAATTTCGTCTTATCTGCAGTCGAAATATTTTGGCCTGTTTATTTAAATTTTGTCTGGCAGTAGTTTTACCCAACACTGATAAGTACATCTGTATAATTAAAGCTGAACTCTGGGAAGATACAAATGACACAAATTAAAGCAGCTCTGTAGTCATAAATATCATTTTAAATGTATTTCTATACATTTTTTTAAAATAAGTACCTGAATTTGACCTAATGTCAGTCTTTTATAATCCTGTATGCAGCGGAGCTCAGAGATGGGAAAGGAGAAGCAGCACAAGCCAGTGGTGTATTTAGGTTTTGTGTTGCCCTAGGCAACGCAAAAATCAGACGCCCTCCCCCTCCCCGGCGGAGAGAGCCTGACAATGACCAACACCAGACACCCTCCGCCCATGGAGAGAGCCTGACAGTGACCAAAAACACCACCAACCGAGAAAGCCTTCCACTAATACCCACTCCCCCGCCGGTGACAGAGAGAGAGACACTCACCCAGGGGCGGACTGACAACTCATCGGGCCCCCGGGCAATAGGGAATCATGGGGCCCCTGTGTCCTTGCCCAAACTCAAAAAAGCCTATGAAAAAGGTACCAGGAGCATCTCATGGGACCCCCTACTGACCCCAGGCCCTCGAGCAGTGCCCGAGTTTCCAAATGGTCAGTCCGCCCCTGCACTCACCTTCACAGCTCTGGGCATCCCCCGGAATGACAGTTGGACTTCTGCATCAAGCTTCTCTCGGATCCCACCTGGTCCCCATGCCACATATGTCCCTTCTTCTGGGGGGCAGTGCTGCCCCCTAAAAAATGCCGCTGTAAGCAAATGCCTTGTTTGCCTTGTGGTAAATACGCCCAAGGCACAAGCAGTCAATCAGAAGTGCTGCCTTGCAAAGAGCATGCTGATAGGAGGAGACAGGAAAGTGACATGAAGATGAGCTCATCGGTCTACTACTTCTCCTTTCTCTGTCCAGTCACAGGCTGGGGGAGAAATAAGACCTGAATGTGTTACTGTAGCAAAATAGAATCCGGTATGCTACCATGCCAGAATGGTCTGTGGCAGAGCTGTGTTGATAGGAATTGAGAGGAATACAAATACTTTAGCAGGTAAAACAGCTAATATATACGAGGAGCGTCCAAAAGTTCACGGGCCAGCACAGGAGTGACCATGCAGACATGGAACTTTATCATCTCACCAAGACAATCTTCCAGATGTTCAGAGCTAAAATGGCGTATGCACGTTATATGGGTTTAGTGTGCTTCATGCAAACAGTTGGCTTCCCCCCAGTCGAGTTGAAAATGTAGAAAGCTGAAAAAGAATGCTTAGAGCAGGGGTGTCCAAACTATGGCCCTCCAGGTGTTGAGGAACTGCAAGTCCCATGAGGCCTTGCAAGACTCTGACATCCACAGGCAAGACACCCAGAGGCAGAGGCATGATGGGACTTGTAGTACTTCAGCTGGAGGGCCATAGTTGGGACACCCCTGGCTTAGCGTGTTCCATCAGTGGGCAAAGTGATAGCGACAGTCTTCTTGGATTCTGAAGGTATGCTACTGAACATCTGGAAGAATAGATTGGTATCCAAATAAAGTTTCATATCTGTGTGGTTGGCCCATGAACTTTTGGGATGCCCTTAATATTATACAGTATGTATTTCTGTGTGTTGCTGCTTCTCAGCTTTAAATTAAACCTATTGAAAAGCAGAGGATGCCATTGCTATCTGCTTCCTAAAAATTCTAGTTTCCTGGCTGCTATAAACTCCCACTGGCTTCAGTACTGACCTGGAACAAGTTTGCAGATTAGAAATATCTCATAAAGGTCATAATGTAGTCATTGGTATCAAACTGGTGGCCCTCCAGCTGTTGCCAAACACAAGTTCCATGACGCATTGCAAGATTGACAGTTACAAGCATGACTCTCAAAGGAAGAGGCATCATGGGACTTGTAGTTTTGCAACAGCTGGAGGGCCGCCAGTTTGACACCCCTGAGGTAGTTGATAGGTGGCATTGGATCTGCAAAACTTTTCTTGAACCCACCCCTAGTGTGGAGGTAGTGTAGATGTGTGGTGTCTGGGCACTGGGCTGCCAGCTTCTGCAAACCAATAGACATGATTTGTTTCATTACAAAGTGAAATTCGTCCGAAATTTATGTTATTCAGAGATTCAGACACATTTTAAAAATCTGAAATAAATTTTAATGAAACAAATTATCTGAATTCAAATGCAAAAATGAATTGAACTTAAAAATTACTTTTAAATTGAAAATGATTTGATCTCTCATCCAGCACTTCCTTCTGTGGTCTCCACACAGATTGATGTTATTTCTTTCTCTGACCATGCTCCGGTCCATCTTACTCTCCGGTTGGATTTGTCGACCTGTGTTCCTCCTGCCTGGAGGTTGGATGAGACCCTTCTCCAATCTTCAGATACTTGTGCCGCTCTTGGGGAGTACTTTGCGATCAATAACGACTTGGTAGATAACCCTCTTATGGTATGGGAAGCCAAAAAAATTGAAAATGAATATGAATTCGAAATGGAAACATTGCAATAAATACTAAAAGGTATAAAAGTGAAATAAGATGATGATTCCTATTTATGCTGCTGAATAGAATGCAATAGAATAGAATAAAATAGAATACAATAAAACAAAACAAAATAGAATAGAAAATAAAAGAATATAAAAGAGTAGAATAGAATGCAATAGAATAGAAAATAAAGAAACAGAATAGAAAAGAAAAGAATAGAATAGAATATAACATAAAATAATAGAATATAAAAGAATAGAGTATAAAATAAAAGAATAGAATATAAAAGAATAGAATAGAAATTAAAAAAATAGAATATAAAAGAATAGAATAGAATAGAAAAGATTAGACTAGAGTGGCATAGAATAGAACAGGAAAAAATGGAACAAATAAATCTTTCTTCTGAAATTCAAATTTCGAAATTCGAATTTCAAATCAATTTGAAAATAAGGAATATACAAAAGACATCTGAATGTAGAATTCAAATCATTCTAAAATAAAAAATACAATGAAACGAACATATCTACACACCAAAGGGCTCCCATGACCACCTTGGACTGCAAGTGGAAAGCATAAATATAGAATTGAAGAGCCACCCCCTGATGTTGTAGTCCAGATTCCAATGTATCCCAATGTTAAATCAAATGAGAACTTTACATTCAGCCAACACACTTCAGGGTAAGTGATACCTTCCTTCATCAGGGCTGGAAAAAGACATACAATACATGATTAAATGTATCTCATGATTCTTATATTCTAAAAGGGGAAAGTACAAAATACTTAAAATACTATATTTAAACTGTTACTAAACCCACAACAGTAAAATCAGTTTGTATACACAGTAAAGCATGTTTGTTATACTCGCTGTAGAACCTAAAGGGTTAATCCTCTGCATTGTGTTAGAAGGCCATTTGATCCTTTCTTCTCTGTTCCTCCCCTTTTTCAAGCTACCACATCCTATCTCCTGATAAGACAGGCTGAACCGTAGGCATTTGCACATGCTCAGTTTAGTGTGTATTGCTAGAGAGGTTTATTTTTTCTTGGGATAGTGCATGTGATCAGCACAGGGCCAATCAACACTGTCCAGACAGAGGTCAGGGGTTCTGCATCCTCCTAGAGCAGAAAGAAAACTCCTCCTACAAACTTTAATTAGTGCTGGGCTAAACACTGATAGAAGCCACAAGACTGCTCTAACTTTTGATGAGAAAAGGTATTTAACGGTTTATATTTACTAAAATAATTGCATTTACATACTCAGTGTACTACGGACATATGTGAACAGCAGGGGCGGACTGACCATTTGGAAACTCGGGCACTGCCCAAGGGCCCGGGGTCAGTAGGGAGCCCCATGAGATGCCCCTGGTACCTTTTTCATAGGCTTTTTTGAGTTTGGGCAAGGACACAGGGGCCCCATAATCCCCTATTGCCCGGGGGCCCCATGAGTTGTCAGTCCGCCCCTGGTGAACAGGCACCATAGGAAGCAATGTTTTTTCACATGTCATGCGGATTGGATGCGGTTCAAGCATCCGCATCACATATACAACACATAGCTGTTGGTAGTATAGGGTCTGTTGTTGGATAGGGTGTTCTTTGAGTACACTGGGCCATGCGGTGACAGGTTCATTTTAAGGGCTTGTGTACATGAACCTTTGATCATCTCAGAACTGACTTTCTCTCCTTAAAAGCCTTTATGAACGCAAAAGCAGCTTGAATTTGTTTGATTCACATTAGAAAAATGTCAGTAGCAGGTTAGAAAGAGTCAGAGGAACTTGTGAAGAACTTAGAAGAATTCTAGTCATTGATTTCAAATACAAGATTAATATACCAGAAAGCAGCCATCTACACAAACCATAAAAATAACATATCTACCGACAACATTTATAGTGTTTTCTTTGATAAGTTGCTCACGTCAAAAGTCTTTTAATTATTTTAATTGATGAATGTAGAAAAAAGTGTACATTTTTAGGTTAAGAGCATTTTACATAAAGAGTGGGAATGAAGGAATTTTCACTGGTTTAGTTTTTTGTGAATCTTGCTCGAAATTTATGAACTTTGCATCAAAGTGCATTGAAGTCTATTGGGGCTCAGTCCTGTTATTCATTTCTGGAAATGTTTAGGGTAACAAGCTGACAAACAAAAATGTATGGGATCTTGGGAACTGCCATGGTGGACATATACCAAAAGATCCTTCATCTGGGGTAGGATTTGTCATTGGCTGGTGACTCCTATCCACCCCATCTTTCTCCAGGGACAGTTAGGACAAAATCTTGTACATTTTTGACCTTAAGGACTATTTTGTCACTGAAGTTTAGGACATGTACCAATTCCAAAATAAAAAGTATCTCTCCCTACAGAGAATTGTTGGCTGATACTAACACCTTCATTATACACTGACAATATTTGAGTCCATCCTGTTATAGAAAGAAGGCTGGGCTATCCATTCCTTCAAATTGTTGGCTTTTGTGACTCGGCACAAAAGGCTGGGCACTGGTTGATTGAGGCACCTCAAAGGTCGGGCTGTCTCTTAGGCAGTATGTGGCTTAACAACCATTATTGTGTGACGTAAGAGGAAAGCTAGGTAAACTGAAAGATCCCTTAAAGTGACACTAAACTGCATTTTTGTTTTTTTTTTTTCTTTAAATCAAGTATGTATTCTTAACTCAAAAAAGTACCTTTTATTGCTCCCAGCTCTTCCAAATCTCCAAATTCCTTATTTGTGCTGCTGTGATCTGATTTGCTGTTGGAAGGTAGCAAGATTCGATATGGCCCCACTGTGTGCAGAAGTGTAGCCACCCTCTCTTGCTTGCCCAAGAAGAACTATGGACTATGCGATTTGTAGTGTGCACTGCTCATTCCAAACAAACAGAACCCAAAGAACCAGTTTCTGGGTGGAGACCAAACCTGATTTAAGCCAGCCAAGCCTGCAGTCTCATGCTTTTGATATTGCATTTGTAACATGTGCTCCAAGCTCCCTGTTTGTCTGTCCTACCTGCTGGTTTGGATTCCCTTGTTGACGACCTCGGATCGGATGTGGACTACTTTCTGAACTCTGCCTGCCTTTTTGACTTCGGACTTGATTCTGACTATTCTGAACCTTGCCTACCTTGTACCTGGACTCTGTCTGTCTGCCAACTGCAAGTACCTGTTTGCTTTGCTCAGTTCGTGCTTGCCCCGGTATGGTGACCAGGCACTATAGCATTCTGTATAAGTCCTCGGGGCATCCAAGTACTGGTAAGCCTGCTTGCCTTATGGGAAAGGGGGCTGCTGTATGTGAAGAACACAGAAGCCAGCTATTGTGTCTGACAACCTGCATTAGAGGCAGTTGATTCTTGGTTTGTTAATGATCTAATAATGACATTTTTATTATTATTATTTTTATTACTATTATTCTTGTGGCTTTTATTTACTAGACGTAGATGTAATTTTGGTGTGTAATACCACAGTGGCAATATTATACAATAGGAAGTGTCACTGTGATTCATGTTTCACTTGTTCAATTCCATCTTTCATCTCTGTCTGGCATCTTTGCTAGATTCTCACTTTCCTTTTTCACTTTCCTTATTCTCCAAGACCTGATTTATTTCTTCTCTTAACGGCTCCCTAAATCCTTAAGCACATAGAAAGTGGGCAGCAATTGCATTGTTGTGGTTTTCAGGTATGCTATGCTGACCCATCTTTTCCGAAAAGAAACACGATGAATACACAGCTTTACATTTTTTTTTACAGCTTTTATGTGAGAATTTCCTTTATTTCTTTTCATGATTGTTTTAAAAACATTATTTTACCTTGTCTGAAAAATTTTTTACAGTTCCCCTTAAAATGTCCCCAGATCATATTGGTTTTATAAATGTTAGCTGCTTTTTGAGGAACCAAAATATCTATTTTGAAATTTGTTCCTAACAATTGTTTTTATTCCAAAGTCTTTTAAAAAGTTCAACATATAGAGTATAACCCAAAATGATTTAAAAGTGCTTTCTCTGCTACAATGTACTGCCTATTTTCTTTGCTAGTGTGTCTTACATTCTGTGCTCTTAATGAGAATGTCTTCTGAGGAGCTGATGCCATTGCTGTTATCCTTTCCCAACAAAGATTTTGGGTGGTTGATAGAAGTAATGCTCCTAGTGGGCATGCCTGTTGAGGAGCCAATGCCATCGCTCAATTTTTCTTTGCCATTTTTGATATGGGCGTGTTATATCTTAGTGGCCGTGGCTCCTGAGGAACTAATGTCATGGAACAGTTACTATTTTTCAGCTTTAAGGTGTCATCAAACTAATTATTTTATTGGTGTGTGTTGAGGAGCTTATGTCTTCACTCAATTCCTCGTAAGGTCCTAAGAACTTGGAGACGTGGATATGCCTAGGATGAGCTAATATAACTGCTTATTACCCTCTTCTAGTTAAGATCTGGATGTGTCTCAGATATTATACTCTTAGTGGATGTGTCTATTGGATAGTTGATTTTATCACCCAGTTTGGTGGCTAAGATATGGGTGCGTCACAGAACCTACGATCTTAGTAGGTGTGTCTATTGAGGGGTCAATTTTACTCAGTTACTTCTTAGTGAAGACATGGGTCTTTCATAAAACTGATGCTCTTAGTGGATGTGTCTTTTAAGGAGTTGATATCATCACTCACTAAAGCCTAGTACACACGATGAGAAAAGCAGACCACTTTCGGAGCGTTCATCCAATACCCTGTTCATTAGTACACAGCTTTCGAGAGCCGATCACGACAGTTCATGTGAAATTATCCAAAGGAGCAAGCGCAAAGATTTTTCTCATACAGGAACAGAATGAATGATGTCTGTTTATTCAGTACATATTCGTTGAGTGACCAAGACCGCGCTTGCTCGGATATGAAAGAATATATTACAATACAATACAATAAATTACATCACTTCTGAATTTGTATTCTGCCATATGAGAATTTTTGTAACTTTAGTAACCTCTTCGTTTTTGATATGAGACTAGCATGCAAAAAAAGAAAAGAACAACCGTTTGTTCGATATTCTCATTGTATATGCGAGGCTTTTATTATTTTCCATTGAACACTTGGGTGTATTACAGAACCAATTATCTTAGTTGGTGGGTCTTTTGAAGAGCTAAAGGCTTCTCTTTCCCAGCAAACACCTACAGCTTACTCAATAAAGCAACCCAAAGAGATATGACATGTGCAAAAAGCAGCAACACATAACAACTTGTAGGCTTCAGTTAGCTATGTATTCTCAATAAATCACATCTAAAATATGACTTACTTGCAGTCTGCAAATTATTTTTTTGCCTTAATAAATAAACCAGATTTAAACTAGGTGGACAGACCATCTGGGTGACAGTATTCATGAATCCAGATATATTGTACCCGGGCCAAAATCCTTCAAGAAATATGTCACAGACTGAGATGTGGACCCTGCAATGCGGTGCAGAAGCTTCCCCTGCAAATGAAGTGTAAGAGGTAGTTAGTGTTCTGTGAAGAACCCGCTCATTGAAGTTTGGGCTTAGCTTTAGGCTACTCTCAAATCACTGGACGGGTACTCACAGAAGCAGAGTAGAGTTGGTACTGGGTAATGAGGAACTGTGAATGAGAATGAGTCACAAAGCACTGGGCAGCTGGAGGTAGGAGTGAGGCTGGAGGCTGAAAGTGCAGATGAGGCACAACAGAGGCTCAGACTGTGGATGCAGCAAGCTGGAGGGATACAGAGATGGCAAAGCTTAGACCAGGGCTTCTCAACCAGGGTTCCTCCAGAGGTTGCCAGGGGTTCCTTGAGCAATGAGCAGTTTTTGCCTCTCAGGTAAGTTCCCACTGACACCATTGATATTTTTAGCGTTCAGTAAGGGGGTAATTCTTCCCAATGACCACAAGTGTAAGGAGCATTCTTACCTCTGACTATCATCCTAATGTATCATGAATTGTAGATAAAGTCATTTTAGCAGGGGATCCCTGGAGACCCAAAAGTTATGTCAAGGGTCCCTCTGCGTTGAAAAAGTTGGAAAGGTTGAAAAGGTTTGGCTTAGACTGTGGTTGCAGCTGAGAAGCAATAGAGGCTGCAGGTGCAGTGGAGGTGCAGAGAAGACTGTGGGTGCAAAGGAAACTTAGACTACAAGTGCAATAGGACCAGACTGGGGTGCAGTAGAGGCGTAAAGCGGAGTTCCACCCTAAAGGGGAAGTTCCATTTTAAGCCTTTGTCCCCCGCTCCCCATTAAGGATTGGCACCTTTGAGGAGCGGGTACCCCAATTTGACAGGTACCCGCTCCCACTTCCGCTGCGATCGCCTAGGCGATCGGAAGCAGAAATTGTCCTTCCCCCCTCCCTCCCCGTAGTCTTCTGGGACACGTGACAGGTCTCAGAAGACTATGGGGCCATTCATAAAGTGCAGCGCTTCTCACACATGCGCAGTGGGTACCCGACTGTGAAGCCACAAGCTGTCACTGCAGGGTGCCCACACTGAAGATACCGGCACCAGGGAGAGAAGTTGGCCGGTGAAACCAGCCGTGGTGAAGACACTGAGAGACAAGTAAGTGGCTGTATTTTAAAAGTGAGCAGCTACAGTTTTTTTATAGCTGCTGACTTTTATTTCTTTTTTTTTAGGTGGAACTCCGCTTTAAGCTATGCACATAGCAGTGGCTGTGTTACAGATTCAATGGAGACCAGGCTGGGGTGCAGCAGAAGCTTAGGCCTGGATCCCACGCCACCATATTCGCTGCTTCCATCATCGAGAGTAGACTTGACCAGTACAAAAAAATTTGTTTAGTTTCACATCGATTCATTAAGTTATTAATTTCGTGTCATTGCATTTGTAACAAAATTCGAAGGGATTTGAATTTTTCGAATGCATTCGAAATATTTGAATCGAATAAAAAACGATTTTTAATCGAAAATATCGAATCAATTCAAACTAAATTGTTACTAAACTCACAACAGTAAAATCTGTCACTCTGAAACCTAAGGGGTTAATCCTCCACACTGTGTAAAAAGGATGTTTTATCGTGTCTTCTCTGATCCTCCCCTTCTACTGTCCCCAATCCATCTGCTGATAGTACAGAGCTCTAGGAGTCATTCAGTTTATGGCTAGAGAGTTTTTTTTTTTTTTTCTGTGGGGGGGTGCATGTGATCAGCACAGGGCCAATCAGCACTGTCCAGACAGAGGGTCAGGGGTTATGCAGCCTCATAGGACAGTCAGAGCAGAATGAAAACTCCTCCTACATGCTTTAACCGGTGCTCAGCTGGACATTGATGGAAGTCACAAGACTGCTATATTCTGCTGATGAGACAAGGTATTTAGCAGTTTACATTTACTGAGATAATTGCATTTCTATGTTCTGTGTACTGTGGGAGACCAGATATAGTGAATGCAGGGTCCCGGGTTTAGTAACACTTTAATTGTGAAGAATATCTAGTTCTATTCAATACAAAATTTTAATTTTGGAAGTCGTTATATTCTTTCTTTTTTGTTCTATTCTATTCTATTTTTTTCTACTCTATTCTTTTATATGCTTTTATTTTCTATTCTATTTTTATTTTATTCTTTTCTATTATTTTGTTCTGTTTTATGTTATTCAATTTTTTTCTGGTATATTCTTTTCAGTTTTACTTTTCTATTCTATTCCATTCTGTTTTATTGTATTCTTTTCAAAATTCGAATTTCATATTCTGTCTATTCTATTCTATTCTGTTCTTTTATTATCTATTCTTTTCTTATATATTTTATTCTTTTCAAATTTGGAATTTCAGAGGACCGCTATATTCTAACACTAATATACATCTTTGAAGGAAATCAGCATTAGTTAGCAATATGTTTATATTTCAAATTCTATTTAATTTTCAGATTCTATTTGAATTCAATACAAATTTTGAACAACATTTTGTTTCGTTAGTTCAAATTCATTTCAATTCATTAAATTCAGAAATTGGGATACAATTTGGAAAATTTTGTCTGAATTTAAATTCAGAATTAAACGAACCACACATGTCTAATCGGGAGCTGGCTGTCTCTTTTGGCCTCCTGATGGCCTCCTGATGATGCACCATGGACCATGTGGCATAGGTTCAACATTGCTCCTGGGTCCTCCTGGGATGCATGACGTGAGTTATCCCAGGAGGCTTTGGGCACCTGGGGATGCCATTCTTGCCTAGGTGAGAAAGGTGGAAGCATGACCTGTGCTCCCCCCAAAAAAGTATTTTATTTATTATATATATATATATATATATATATAATATATATATAAAATACCTTTTTTTGGGTATTTTATATAAAATATTTTATATACGTTTTCATTAAAAGAGGTTGGAAAGGAGCAGGATTCAAACAGGAAAGATGGAGTGGATGTCCCCTTTGTTATTCGAATTTCTGACATTTATCCACGCCTGTAGTCATATACTAGTCAGAAGCCACTAATATGTTCACCTTCCTCGTTTTGTGAATCATAACATTCAGTTCCTGAGACCTACTTCATTGCTCTGTCTGAGAGCAAAAACATGCCGTGCGAGCCAGTTTTAAACGCATTTCCCTCCCTCCCTAATACCACGTATTTTTCAGGGAGAGTAAGAGTCTTAATTACTGAAAGTCCCATGCAAGCCTTCATTGGTGGAAAATTAATTGTACTTGGAGAAAGCGGAGATGCGTGTTTCAGGGTAATTAAATTTTTTATGTACATTCCCTTCCCCCTCTTCGTCATCGTGTATTTTAAAGTAGGTGCACTGGGGACAGGCTCGCTGAGCCCAGGAAAGATTTAGAACAAACTTAATTGCTGTGGAAGCCAGAAAGTTGTTTTATGTACCCAGTTCATAAAGCATACAACAGCTGAGAACCTGCAAAATATATCCTCCTGTTGTAAATTTGGTTTGTCCTTCTAGATCAAGCCACTGTGTTAAAATATCTATATATGTCAGACAATGTTAAACTTCAGCCAGGTTTTTTTTTGTTATGTTGGGGTTAAAAACATCAGGCAGGTTTTTATTACTGTCTGAGAGTTCTTTATAAAGAACAATAAGAAAAGAAATCAGGAGCAAAAAGGAAGTTGCTGCCCTTGGTGACCAGATTATTTTATTCATTTTCCCAAATGATTGGCAGGACAAGATGTGACCAAAATCTCTCCAATGAGAGATGAGGAAGGATTAGAACTTATGGTTTCTACTGATTTTTCTAGTGGGAAGAGCCTTCTCACTGTCAGGTCACTGGGATATGATGTATGGCCTACCTCCCAACCAGGGGCGGACTGACCATTTGGAAACTCGGGCACTGCTCGAGGGCCCGGGGTCAGTAGGGGGCCCCATGAGATGCCCCTGGTACCTTTTTCATAGGCTTTTTTGAGTTTGGGCAAGGACACAGGGGCCCCATGTTCCCCTATTGCCCGGCCCCCCATGAGTTGGCAGTCCGCGCCTGCTCCCAACTTTAAACTTTCATCAAGTGGGAAAGCCTGCGCGTGTTTGCAGCCGTTCTTGTACCCATAAAATATTCTGTGATAACTATGCCACTACCAGGATGCTTAAAGACACACATAAATCTCAGGACATTTCCATTACATGCTTTCTGTCTGAGTCTACTTTAAAGAATAACTTCATTAAAACACTTGAGAATTACTTCTTGACCTGCAGTTGTTGAAGCAAAAAAACATTTCCTCTGGAGTATTTAACATACAGAACAGCATAAAGATTACAGCAGTTAAGAATATGTAACATCGACAGCGTTGTGATGTCCTCAATATTTAGTAGTCATGCCCATGTCTGGCTGCCTTTTGGTCCAAGGTCTTTGGATTGCTCCAAACTCTATTCCATGTAATAATCACTAATGATTCACTAACTGCTAAAACCAATGGCCACTACTCCATACTCTTACTACTTGACCTCTCTGCGGCTTTTGATACTGTTGACCATCACCTCCTCCTCAAAAAACTCCATTCTCTTGGCCTCCGAGACTCTGCTCTCTCCTGGTTCTCCTCCTACCTATTGCAGCACTCCTTCAGCGTTATCTATAACTCTGTCTCCTCCTCTCCACTCCCTGTTTCTGTAGGGGTTCCTCAAGGTTCCGTCCTTGGACCCCTTCTCTTTCCATCTACACCTCCTCACATGGTCACTTTATTATTATTATACAGGATTTATATAGCGCCAACGGTTTGCTCAGCGCTTTACATTATAGTGGGAGACAATATAGTAACAATACAGTTCAATACAAGAGGGAATTGTGGGCCCTGCTCCTTACAATCTAGGAGGGAAGGGTGAGTGGTACAATAGGTAAAACTGTGGGGGATGGAGTGGTTGGAAGAGTAGAGGATTCCAGTATTAGCTGGGGCGGGATAGGCTTCCCTGAAGAGATAGGTTTTCAATGATCGCCTGAAGGTAAGTAGAGTAGGTGATAGTCTAATACATTGGGGTAGGGAGTTCCAGAGGATGGGTGACGCCCTGGAGTCTTGGAGACAAGCATGGGAGGAGGAGATAAGGGAGCTAGAGAGTAGGAGGTCTTGCGAGGAGCGGAGTGTACTGTTTGGGTGATATTTAGAGATAAGATTGGATATATAAATTGGGGCAGTGTTGTGGATGGCTTTGTATGTCATGGTTAGTGTTTTGAATTGTATCCTTTGGGCAACTGGGAGCCAGTGGAGGGATTGGCAGACAGGGGTGGCAGATACAGAGCGGTTAGTGAGGTGGATGAGTCTGGCAGCAGCGTTCATGATGGACTGGAGTGGGGATAGCCTGTGATGAGGTAGGCCAATGAGGAGAGAGTTACAATAGTCGAGGCGTGATATGACAAGGGAGTGAATAAGTTGCTTAGTGGTTTCCGAGTTAGGAATGGTCCTAACCTAATGGTCACTTGATAAACTCCCATTGCTTTAAGTACGATCTCTATGCTGATGACACACAAATCTATCTTTCTACTCCTCACCTCACCCCTTCAGTCTCCTCTCGCATTACTAACCTACTGAGTGACATATCGGCATGGATGTCACTTCACTTCCTCAAACTCAATCTTTCGAAAACTGAGCTCATACTATTCCCTCCAGCCCGTGCCCCCTCCCCTGACTTCTCCATCAAGATCAATAATACAATCATCAGTCCCTCCCCTCATGCCAGGGTGCTAGGTGTAACCCTAGACTCCCATCTATCCTTTCGGCCCCAAATCCAATCGCTGTCCAAATCTTGTAGACTTCACCTCCGCAGCATCTCCAAGATACGACTGTTCTTAACCTCTGAAAATACTAATCAACCTATTCACTCCCTGGTTATTGCTTGCCTTGACTATTGTAACTCCCTCCTCATTGGCCTACCTCATTGCAGGCTATCCCTTCTTCAGTCTTTCATAAATGCTGCTGCCAGACTCATCCACCTTACTTACTGTTCCATATCTGCCACCCCTCTCTGCCAATCTCTCCACTGGCTTCCCATTGCCCAATGAATAAAATTCAAAACATTAACAATCACATATAAAACCATTTATAACTCTGCCCCAATTTACATCACCAATCTTGTCTCCAAATATCACCCAAACTGCTCTTCCCATGACCTCCTGATCTTTAGCTTCCTTGTCTCCTCCTCCCATGCTCATCTCAAGGACTTCTTCAGAGCCTCCCCCATCCTCTGGAACTCTCTACCCCAATCTATCAGACTATCGCCTACTCTGCCCACTTTTAGGCGATCTGTGAAAACCTATCTCTTCAGGGAAGCCTATCCTGCCTTCAGCTAATAATGGAATCTTCTATTCCTTCTACCAGTCCATCCCCACAGTTATTACCTTTTGTACTACAGGGCCCTCCTAACCCGCTTGTATTGAACTGTATTGTTGCTGTATTGTCTCCCTTTATTTTGTAAAGCGCTGAGCAAACTGTTGGTGCTATATAATTCCTGTATAATAATAAGAATAATAATCCCTAAAGACCCTAAGGTGGTCCTACTACAGGCCCTATCCCAGGCCTCTTTTCATACCAACAAAAACTGGCCACTTATTTAATTTTGGTCACTATAGCCAAAGCCTGGAAAAAACTTACTGTCCCCTTCCCAGAAGTGAAAAAGCACCTGATGATTCTTGAAAAAGCACCTGACCACACTAATGATTCTTGAAAAACTGTCAAGCATCCTCAACGATTCTCAATTTAAATTTCTCAAAATATGGGAATCGTGGCTTAATAATGCTCTACCTTCCTCGAACTCATTCCTTCATTTTCCTCACGTTTTTATTATATTTTTATATTCTGCTCTTTATGCTTTCTTTTATCTTCAGGTATATGTGCCTTACTCGAGATGATCTGACGCAGCTGGCACCTCAAGGTTTGAGTGTAGGCTCTGTGTTCAGATTCTCAGACCGTTACATTTTGTCATTCTGTTTGTTCCTTTTCTCTCGAAATGCTTAAATATGCTGTGCAATTCTTTTGTCCCCCTCAGTGGGCTAATTTGTTGCCATCTTTATCTTCATAAAAATTAATAATAACTAATAAACTAAATTTCACCAAACAAAATGATGCAACACTGTGCCCCTTACATTGCTGGTCAGTGGAAGGGAAGAAAATGCCCGGGCATGGGTGGCCAGTGAGAGAAAGAAGAAAACCAGGTCAGTGGGAGATAGAATGTCTGGCGTCATTGATCAGTGGGTGAAAAATGCCAAAAGTTATTGGTCAGTGGGAGAGAAATTCCTGGCGTTATTGGTCAGCCCACCCTTAAGTTACAGGACCTCAGATCAGACCCCCCCTTAACACTCAGGCCACAATGAGTCCACCTTAAAATTCACACCCCAAGGCCAGAACCACCTTCATTCTGAGACCTCAGATTAGACCCCCTTCTCTTTTAGAGCCCAGATGATCCCCCCTTTAAACATCTCTTAAAACCCCAGATAAGCCCCGCACTTGAAACTCCCTTTAAGACCTCAGATCAGTTCTTACTTTAAACTCCCCTTCAGCCCTCAGATCAGTACCCACCCTTCTCCCCTCCACAACCTCTCCAGACCTCAGATCAGTGTGTCATCTCATAGTAAATTGAGGGAGAGTATCCCAGAATTCCCTTGTGGCTCTGAGTCATGTGGTGTTTTCAATACATAAACAGGAAGTACGGACATATTTTCCTACTCTCCTGTGCGGATGCTGTGCTGGTTGGAGGGCTGATACCATCATCAGGTGCTGGAGCAAGCATTCCCTCACTGTCAGGAATCCAACCACGGTAGCCTCTAGCACTCCACAGACCGGAATCCCCCAAGGCACGGAATCTAAGCTCTGACCTGCTTGTTCACCAGAGCCCCTGATGGTGGGGATGGACTTGGAGCAGGCCGAGACCAGGTCGCGGCCCCTGGGTTCACCCAGCTGAGGTAGAGGCACCTTTGAAGGTGTATAGCGGTTAAGAGTCTGATGTGAGGAGGTAACTGAAGCAGCGACGGGCAGGCCGGGTCGGTAACAGTGGTGGCGGTGTAGTACAGAATCAGCAGGCAGAGGGATAAACAGGTCACAAGCTGGGTTCGTCAACAGGAGGTCAGAATGTATGGGGTTAAGCAGGAGAATGGTCAGACAAAGCCAGGGATCAGAGCAGGAGATGGACAGCAAATCAGGATCAGGCAGAGAACAAACAATCTACTCACAGGAACTCAGGAACACAGATAAGACCATAGGGCACTTGAGCATTGCAAGAGCCGAGTTTAAATAGCCGCTCGACTCCTGACAGGCGCTCCTGGGTCCTAGTGCTTGCCCGGCGCTGTCATTGGTGACAGGCGCGCCTGGGTCCTATTGCCCGCCTGTAAGTTTTGTCAGGATTCTACGCATGTGCTGATTCGATCATCACGGCGATCTTCCCATTCCCTGACACTCACCCAGTCCAAGCATGGGATGGAACTGTAATATCCTGGGATTAGGTTAGAATCCCAGAACAGACCCGTAGAAACTGGGATGTTTGGGGCATGATTAAGTGAGTGTTTTCCCAAAAAGCCAAGATATATCTGTGCTCTCAATCAGGGGCGGACTGACCATTTGGAAACTCGGGCACTGCCCGAGGGCCCGGGTCAGTAGGGGGTCCCATGAGATGCCCCTGGTACCTTTTTTATAGTTTTTTTTGAGTTTGGGCAAGGACACAGGGGCCCCATGATCCCCTATTGTCCGGGGGCTATATGAGTTGTCAGTCCGCCCCTGCTCTCAATCACAATAGCTTGTACAGGCAATTGTCTATCAGGTGCTAAAGGGATGTAACTACATACTAACACTAGAAATTCTGAAGGAACCCTCTGCACAATGGTATATACCTTTCCAGCAAACTTTGCAATAAAAAAAACAGGGATTTTTAGTTCACACAGATTGCAATACATGTTTGGCCAACTGCATCAAAGTAATCCCTCTATGGCCAGTCCCTAGTCTGCTCTGCCAATGCAAATGCTACTGTGGACACAATGCCAATATGGGGCATATGGGTCCCAACAGAGACACAGAAGAAGAATTCACTCAAAGGCCTCTGCCAAAGCCACTCACCCCAGCCATTTTCACTTTCCTCTCACT